CGGCTTCTACTATTGATGGCGCACGGTCAACCTAGTGCCTGCGTAACTTCACACGGTGCGGACCCGAAATRTCGGYCTCTTAGTAAGTCARACAATATCCTTCCCTAGTCACAACCTACCCTRGTGAACTTTACATCACCCGCAACTTCGCCCGTGCGTGCGAGGTTGCGACTTTATCTAAGATTCTAACCTRGCACTTTCTTGCTCTACCGGCGTCTCATWGYTTACATTGATCAGTTGTTCGGTCAAGCTAATGCGTGCCCACAAAGTGCACGCTCACACACTCTCTAGTCAACTCAGAAGCGTGTGTCACTCCCAATCCCTGAGAATTGGTTGTGGCCGCACGAAAATGAGGTACGCTCCTAGATATCATCAAAGAACATACTTCCTGCAAGCTGCAAAAACGTGCCCAAATACCCTTGTAAGGGTATTTGGGCCGACAGTTTTTGGGACCTTATTAAGCGACGTCCCCATCGCGTTGATCAATCAAAAGCTATAAGCAATCAAAATCTCAACTGCTAACGAGGAATTAACCAATCCGATTAGCCGACTCGACTCCGTTTGTGGTATTCTTATCAATCTGYTCCCGTCACGCCGTTCCACTGTCAGGGTTCTAACCTGGGTCTCCCACGTCCTGGCCTCGGYGTTTGGGGATACTCTGTTCCGTACTACAGCGTAATACCCGCTCCCATGTAATAGGTTGATAGTCCTCTGCCTTTGTCGTAGACATCCGCCAGCTGATCGTTGGGTATCTTGTTTAGTCATCGTCCCAAGTACGGGGTCATAACTTAGGACGAGGGCCCTAACCGAGACCTCTTTCGAATACGGGGCACCTGCAGTCCCGAAATGGTAATGCTTACCATGTGAAATATCCAATCATAATGAATTTTCATCCTGGAGTTTAGGTCTCCATCTTGGCCCACCGCGGAACGGTCGATCACGCCGAATCCACGGCCCACCGCGTCGTTATACAGTGATGGTGCCCTCGTTGGTTGCGCAACGATAAGCAGTTCTTCCTATCTTGGCACCCCAAAGGGTCCCGACTCTTGACTTAATCGACCCCAATGACTTTCCCTCTAGCTAAGCCTCTCCGGGCGGCCGACCCTTCAAGACTTAACCTTTGGTGAGCCCTGGTCCCGCTGCCAGGTTGTGCCGGTTAACGGCCCTCGCTGGGAGTTAGGTTCTACAACTCCAGCGATGCTAAGTATATAGCCCCTTAGCTTGGCCTCACAATATATGTCCCTTAGACTGACTTCATTGTGGTCTGACACTTTCTTTCCAAAAGTCTTTAGTACAATCAAAGGATCACATACCAACTGCCCACGGGACTACGTGGAGGGATAGTGCCTTCTTTAACATTCCACCAATTTCCTCAGTAAATCCATAAGGTCGTGTCTCCCTTACTTTGATCAGCGTAGGTAAGGTCACACGTCTTTTAGGGACATCTCTCAAAATGTTTTCCCGAACTCTATCATAATTGCCAGAAGTTTCCATCCATAATTCTCATTAAAGTTTTGGACTTTCCTCGTCAGACTTACATACACACAAAAATATTTCATCATTATAGCATCTTCTTTGAGTGCTCTCACAATTTTCGTTTTTTTAAGAAAGTCCAATCGGCCATTGGGCTTCCCTCTCTCTTTTCTAAGTCATACAAAAGACACAACTTTGGTTGTGACATGTCCATTCATCATCCCATAAATCTTTGCAAGATACATCATATCATCTCTCTCTCAAAAATATGAGGAACACTCTCTCCCACTGTATTTTGGTTTTCACTTGTCATTGGGACAAGGATGCGCAAGTACAACGGAAGAATGTGCAGATCAGTTCATTTCACAGTATTCATTTCATCACACCATCATTCATATGGGCAAGTCCACAAAACTGAGAATGAGTGTGATATATCACGCAAACAAAGAAAAGAACAAGATTTGAGACTCGCGTATGCACAGAGGATGTGGGGCCCTGCAATAGGCAAAGGTTCCTGTCCTTATCGAAGAAGTCAAAGTATCATACAAAGAGTCCAAGTGTCCAACACGGAAACACAGTATCCAAACAAGAATCAAGGTATTAGAAATCGACCTTCACCGCACTCCTTATACCACTCACACATGAATGTCACTCCACTCTTGATGAAAAAGGAATCAAAACTCACACAAAAGTTTTATTTAAGAAAAAACACTCCACGCCACACTAAAGGAAAGAAAAAATGAGAAATAGTCAGAATCACACTCAKTGTTATCTTATGTACAAAARAAATTATAAGTCTATAATGCGAAGGTAAATATCTCATTACTGRMTCAAGTCAYTGACGTACATRGGTCTGATCCAATCCTCCATGTATCCCTCTATATACAAGCAACCATCAGTCAGAGAGTCGGAGATGTTCTGCGTATACTAGATCTAGACTTTTCCGGACCTTATTAACGAACCCTACTCCYGATYACTCATGACCTYCTGCAGCTGCCTATACAATTGCGCCCTCACTCTATCACGAGTCYTAGGAACCAGRATTCCATTYCTATCTCTCCACATTCGAGATGACTCTCTGACGACCAAACCATTTGCCTCATCTTTTAGGCTCTTGGGGCAGTCGTCAGATCGGTGCTTGCCCTTCTTGCAGTAGAAACATTTGCCAATCTTCTTCTGGAACATCTTGTCTCCTTCCTGTGAGGGTACAAATGACGGGACTGCGGTGACCTTACTCGTGACCTCTTGTTGTGGAACCTCTGGGGAAGTGGGGCATGTTGCTCTGTCGTCTGTTTGCATCACCTGCTCGCCGACTCGTCCCTCTGGCCCCGAACCAGTGGCCCAAGACCCTAATGCATCCCGCAGATTTGCAGCAAGAGGCATATCCTGAGTTATGGTGGACTTATGACACCCGTTCAGATTCCCTCTCAACTCAGCCTCAACCATGGTCTAACCCACACTCTCCTGAACCTTCTGCTATCCCACAGTCCCTCCCTGAGTCGTAGGTGGAACTGCTTCAATCCTCCTGGCCTCAGTTGGTGGCCTCTCCTCTGATCTCGCTGGGTCCTGTCTAAGTGTCATACCAGTTGGCACCCTCCACTTAAATTCTTCATCCTCTAAGTCCTTCTCAGCTAGTGCCTCCTGTGGTTCCAACATTTCCTTGTCTATCAGGGGAATTTCCTCACCCTCTTGCAGGTCCGCTTTCTCTTCTTCCTTCTGCCATTTGAAGGTCACTTTTGTAGGATGTCTTCTGATCTCAAACCCTTGGACCTCTGTCCAGTCCACCACTGCAGTTGTAGCCTACTRTGTATACTTGGCTTCTRGGTTCYTTATCCTCTTTTCCCACTCAGCTTCCTTTGCCTGAAAGGAAGTCTGTTGCACCTGTAAGTAGGCCCTCAGAACGTCATTGACCTTATTAAGGGTCTGATTGACCTGCCTGATAGCTTCGTTCTCTGCCCAGATCTCCACCATATCTGCCTTTGCTGCCTCCACTTCCTTATTCTGCCTTTCCATCTCCTTCTTCAGAGCATCAATCTCTCTCTCCCAATCCACCCTCTAGCCATAGGCTTTCTGTGCCACCTTCGTCAATCTCTCTCCAATCTTCTTGTCTGAGGCCTTAGCTGTAGCAAAACCCTTCTTCATGAGGCCCGTCGGGCTAAGCAAGTCTGTGGAGACCAACTTAACCGCCATCTCCTGACGATGCTCTCTAGGCCTCCCCGCAACCTCCATCAGCTTGTCAAAGCTGACCCAAACCTCTGAAAGTAGGGGAAGATCCTCCTCCTGAGTGCAAACACCCTTACCACTTTTGTCCTTCACCACCACAGGCTCTTCTCCCTGCTGCATCCTCTCATTCATTTCTGCCAAGTTCTTCAACCCGAGTTGGACTCTGATCTCTCTCTCTCTTGCTACTCTCTCAATCCTGTCCTGTTCTTTTTCCTCGGCAGTCTGGTCCTCCTTGCGCTCCTATATCTGTGGCTCATGGGGCGAGTCTGGCTCCATGTCTGGCATAGGGCAGTCCACATCCGTCTGAGCAGGTTGTGGAGGCACATCTAGACCGCCTGACCCTCCTCTCTCATGCCTTTGGGATCTGTGCTCCTTTCTCTTGCCCTCCCTCTGAGTCCCTGATGACATGCCCTGCTCAAAGGTCCTCTCAGCTGCCTTTGGCTCCCTCCTTCTCCTCTCCAGACTCCTTCTTTCACCTGCCTGACGTACCGGAGTATAGTAATTCCACAGCAACTTCTTGCAGTGACTCCAATTTATAGCAGGTGCCACCATAAATCTGATAAAGGATCTGATGTGCCGCCTCACGTAGATAAGGAATCTCCCCATCCTTTGCTCACCTGGGACATTGAGGCCATCTGCATATTGATCATAAGTCATAGGAAATTCCCCAGATTAGTGGAGTCAAATCGAATGGGTTGTCCATCTCTCCCTACTGGCGACAGGTGCAAGCCCTCCATGCTTCTCTCAAAGTCCTGCCAGCTCAGTGACTCCTTGACAAGGTTGGCAATGGGGTCTACCCACTCRTCTGCGCCTCGCACTTCCCTCAACATTCTGGTTCCATCTCATCCAAACTCCTATGCATGTCTCTGAAACTCAATGAGGAACAACTCAATGTTCCCTCCCTAGAAAAYTGGAGGCATGTCCTCTCTCCTGGTCCTCATCTGCGTCCTCTGTCTGGTCAMCCCCAGAGGGGTTTCCACTGGTCCTKCCCCTCCCTTCCCTCTTGGCATGGCTGCCCCAAATGGTGTCAAGCCTGCACAAYAAGGAAGAGAAAAACAGGAGYACACAGAGGGTAAGCAGGTTTAGACAAAACACAACAGGAGACAGACATAGCCCTCCCATAACTATCTCAGCTACCTACTTATCTATATATACATATGCAYACATATATATGCGAGTCTATCCAAAGRCCATAACCTGTCATACCCTTCTACTGAGAATAACATCCTATACAGTTTACTTATGCTAACATTCTCATTTAAAGTACTAAGAAGGTGACCCTAGCTGGTGAGGTCCATGCTCACCTCGTCTCGAGCGACGAACTTCTTTAACCTCGAGCCTGACACCTTGTCTTTCCATGCTGTCCCATTCAACTCCTCAATTTGGTAGGCTCCATGCTCACCACTCCTTGCGACCTTGTATGGTCCCAACCACCTCTTGTCCAACTTCCGCGACCACTGCTTCTCTAAGGATGAGTCATATAGCAGCACAATGTCCCCCACCTTGAGAGGCTCTCTCCTCACTCTTGCCATCGTATCCCACCCGAACTTGTCCTTGGTACGACTGCCACCCACCCTACTTGCCGCCTCCTCAACTCTGTCCTCTATGGCGCCAATCTGACGTGCCCTGAAGTCAGCAGTTCTTCAAACGTGAGATTTGTCTCGAGGTCCTGCCGCCTCCAAGTCTTTAGGAAGCTTTCGATAGGGAATGTCGCATGCCTGCCATACCATAACGTAGCCGGTGCATAGCCGGTGCTTCTCATGATGATATTGTCCACGAAGAAAGCGACCCTTAGGAAGTCTGGCCACTGGTTGGGCCTGTCACTAGTCCACTTGGCGAGAAGGTTCGTGATGTACTATGTCCTCTCTCCACAGGTGCATTGGCCTGTGGGTGCGCTGCAGTAGTATATTCAGTGATTACGCCATACCTCTTTAAAAGTATCTTCATTTCTGCAGAGGTGAATTCAGAACCCCTATCCATCACAAATCTAGAGACAAAGGGGTAACAGAGATAGTACTGTTCGATGCATCGAGCCAACGTCTCACCAGTCTTTGTGCAAATGGCTCTGCCATCTACAAACCCGGAGAGATTGTCCCGCGCATCGAATATAAAATTATAACTTCCTATTCCCAGCGGCATTGCCAACAAATCCAAATGTACGACTGCTCCCCTCACGGACATACCTTGGATGAAGCGGCTTCCTAGGTCTGAGGGAGGATCGCTCYTGGCATGGTACACAATGTTTACAATAGTSATTGATCATTTGTCCCATGCCATCCCARTAGTATAGTTCGTGTATTTTGAGATAGGTCGTATCCRTACTCCTATGGCCCCYTGYMGTACCRTCATGTAGGGCGGCTATGACGTCAATCTGACGAGCGACGCCACAGACTACCCTCCTGGGAGTTTTTCCTTTGCTTCTTATGAATAGATGGTCATCCCTTACAAGAAAGTTTGACCTCATTTTCAGAACTCTCTCGCTAACGTCCCTTTCCCTCATCTCGCACAAAAGAAGCATCCCAAGCTCAAGATAAACTCTGTCGTACTCCTCTGCACGAAAAACTTCTTTAATCTCTCATTCCTCAAAGTCGTCATCTTCTCCTTCGTGGATCACATTTTCACCTTCTTCCTGACTTTGTCTCGCATTCCTAACCAACTCATCCTGAAGCAGTGTGTTAGCTAAGAGATATATCCCGCCTACCAATTTCTCGTGTCTTTCCATCTGCTGCACCCCATTCTCAATCGCGAGCAGGTCCTCAGGTAGTTGGTATTTGTTTGCTAGGGCCAGATCCATCATCCATTCTACACCTGACATTCCCCAAGAGTCTTCTTTGATATAGGGCTTGAGGACTAGGTCTGGTCGTCGTACATGCCCTGGAGGCGCGAGCCACATAGGTCGCCCAGGAGTAACATAGTTACCCACGGTCAGTGACCAGGAGTTGATGTGAAGTCTCACATCCTCCTCACTATCCAGAAACACGTCGACTGGTGGAGTATCCTYGATCACTCCTTGATTATTTTTGTCCCARTCGACTCGACTTAGTCCGTCTGCTCTATTTTTGTTTCCAGGAGTTCACTCCAAYTGGAAATCGAACATCCAGATGTATGTTAGCCACCTCGYGATAGTTGGGTCTGAAGGAGCGAAGTTCTTAAGAGAACCAGCTAGAGCAGTTGGGTCCACCCTCAATACAAACCTGCTGCCAAAGAGGTAGTTTCTGAAGATCCTTAAGCAGTGAAGAACTGCTAGGGTTTCGYGCTTAAACTGAGAGTGGTTTCTCTCAGTTGTGTTMAGCGTTCGACTCTCAAACCTTAGCGGTCGTTCTTCTCCATTAAGGTCTCGTTGGATTAACACACCTTCCAKGGMMGTCGGCCCTRCGTCCGTCTCTACGATAAATGGTCTAGTCATCACCGCCGTATGATCCGGTACCCCCAGTACTAGACGCCCTTCCTCAAATTCTTTCTTTAGACCTTCTATCACTGACTCCAACTTATCTCCACACTCCTAATTTTGGCCTTGGTACACAAGTTTTCGCAACTGCTCAGTCTTCGCCGCAATCCCTTTTATGAAAATCCTCCAAAAGTCACACGTTCCGAGGAAGTTTCTTACCTCCGTGATAGTCTCGAATGGTGTTGGCTATTCGAGAATCTTATTGGTCTTCTTAGTATCTGGACGACGACCCCTCTCGTCGCACACAAATCCTAAGATAGTGGCCCCGCACATGCAGTGCCTTGACTTCGATCCGCTGGCGGTGAGGTTATACTCTTTTAGGAGGTCAAAAACCTTGCACAGGTCTTGCACATGATCCCTGACAAAACGCCTAACCCCTGGCATTACCTCTTGCTCATCCTCTCCTTAGGCCCTTTTACGACCAGATCATCAATATACGGTTGCGTGATGTGAGGGCTTACTGGTTGCATTGCCAGCACCATGTGTCTCTGAACCATGGCAACCGCGTTCCTCCACCCTTGCGGTGCGACGTTCATGTGGATCAACCCTCAAAGGGTTTGCATAGTCGTCATTGGTCTGTCAGATGGATACACAGGATACACAGGAAATTGGTCGTAGCCTGAATATAGACCTACGAGAGATATTATGACTCTCACAGCGCAGGCCTCTGAAAGCGCATTTGCGTTAAGGAGACCCCCTGCGTCTCTCACTGTTACAGCATTCAACCGTTGCAAATCCTGTACCCATCGCAGAGTCCCATTGGGTTTGATAAAGCAAAAACAGGGAGATGCATATGGCCCACTTGAGTAATCTGAGACATGCGTATTTTTCCATCTAGGTAGCTAACCACCTTTTCTTCATCAGCTGGATTAGGATATCGCGCACCTCGTAAGTTCCATGGCTCGTGAGGTACGGTGTGTATCCTAATCATTGGGATTTTTTTCACGTCCAGGTGACCCCGCTCATCATCATTGAAAGCATAGGCAGTATATCTTCCACTTATGGTCTCCACCACCAACCGTCTTTCCTACGCTGTAAGGAAATCTGGCTCTCTAATTATCAGCGCCTCTTCTATTTCTTGATTGATATGACATGGTTCACTTTCTGCCTTCTCACGCATTTGTCGTATCAGTTCTCGCTCCCGCTCATAATAAACCTCTTGTTCTTTGGTCACGAGTACGAGAACTGGGCGACACTTCTTATCTACCCATTTGTACCGCCTTTGTGAACCCTGCTTGAGCCCACCCCTAAAAAAGGGCGAGTTGCACTTTGGGGCTGGGCTCCAACTATTCCACCTATCCTTCCTGGCACCCAGTAGACCAATTTCATCTCACCTTCACCTCTTTTTTCCATCACGTTCTCTCTGAGGGCCTCAACTGCCTCAGGATCTGCCATCCCATAGGCAGATACTATTTCCATAGCGTCCCCTATGTTCGTCAAGCTGAGGGACAACGCTTCTGAGGGTTCTTCCCCTTCAGACTCCTTGCCTTCCAATCTTATTCTCGCCTCTTCTGACTCTTCAATAGTGAAAGAGCCAGGATTGGGCCGATTCCTTACACTGCGTGACCCTGTATTCTTGTATGTGATTACTACATAGTAACCACATATAGGGTCACATAATACCAGGAACATCGTCCCATCATGCTTGTTGAGAATGAGGGTCTCTGTCCTACTTAGAAATGACCGGCCCAATAGGATAGGATGGTCGAGATCATGCATTATAAAAAAGCAAGTCCTCACTTTTACCTTGTCGATCTCAATGACCACGTTTGACGAGGTCCCTATAAACACAGACCTGTTGTTCGCCCCCATAAGGACTCCATTGTCGGAGCGATCAATATCCATCCCCAGGCGAATAGCGTGTTCCTCCTTTATGAGGTTCATCGTTGCGCCCGTATCTACCATTGCGGTGCACGGTTTCCCTTTTACTACTATCTCCACACACGCGTATACTACGGACTTCCAGTCCATTTTGGTGCCTGTTTCCACCCATTCACCTTCTTTGGGGATTATGGCCCCTAGGCGCACGCTTGTTACTAACCTTCTGGACAAACGAGCCTTCAGCTCATCCCGCAATTTCGGAGCAGAGGCGAGGATGTCTTTCAGGTTCAGCAGGTCATTATGGCCGTCAAGGAGCCTGTCTACCATGCCCTCCACGTCGAAACCTTCCTCCAGCCGGACCRTATATTTTTTCTTCTTTCCTTTCTRGTSTTTGTCAGTGTCGGTCCTTGCGCCTCTCTTTTTTGCCCTTTCGTCGGCTTTCTTATCTTCTTCTCGCATTAACTTCTCATCCTCGTCCTCCTCATCTTTCGGAACTTCCACCGCCTCCTTCTCGCCACTAGGCTCCGGGTTATCCTGAGGAGGTTGGCTAGAACTAGGCGGCCCTTTCGACGTTGTGCGCGCTGCCAAAGCTGCCCTTCCGGCCCTAGATGGTGGCCTACAGGCCATCCTAGATCTGGGCGTGGAGACTGTGACCGTTACTCCGGGCAGGTTTTCAATCCCACTTTGTGCCCCAGGACATGAATCAAAAAGGTACACTGACGGTAATTCTCCCCTTCACCTGTTGACCTCCTCGCACAGGGTGGTTAACTTGGACTGGTACCTCCCAATCTTCGCCAATAGGTCCTCCATTCTTTCCATTGTGTATCTCGTCTCTATCCGGCCTTCTTCTTCTTCGTCTTCAGATTCAATCACTATAGGTTCCTCCTTCACAACGCCGGCTTTCATTCCCTGCTCGACTTCTTCACTGTCTCCTACCTCTTCCACCCTTACATCTTGGTGAACTTCTTTCTACTGCCACATGCGGAACGCGGCCGGAGGAGCTGGCGGAGGCGGGGTATTTGCTCTTCGCAAAGCCTCTTCTCTCCTCCCTCCTCGGGTCCTTGGGTCGATATACTTCCCATACATGTCGTAGATATCCCCATCGTAGTTGGTACTTATCAACCCATCTTTTTCGTCGCTCCTCCGGACTTGACAAAACTTAATTGTGTGGCCCTTCTGGCCACAATGCCAACAGATGGCATTTCTCCAATCTATCATACCTCTGCCATATCCTCGGCCACCCTGTTGGCCGCCTTGATTCCCTCCATCATTCCAACCTTCATTTCCTCCTTCATTGGAGTTACCGCCCGCATTCCCTCTTCCATTTCCTGCACAACCACCATTTTCTCTGCCTCGTCCTCATCCTTGGCCTTAGCCTCGACCACCGCCCTGATTGCCCTGCGACCCTTGTGGTGCAGACTGTTGCGATTGACTCGGTGGCAGATTGGACTGGCTCGCCTGCCGGGCTTGGGGCCCTGAGTATCCACACGAGGCCAGACTCATTGGTGGTCCACCATAAGAACCGAATTGTCCGCTAACAGGCCATGGCGTATAAAAGTTAAAACTTGGCCAAGGGCCCGGAGGTCCGAAGCTTGGCCATTGTCCATAAGAGGGTTGCCCGGTCTGAACGGGCACCATCGCTCCTATATGTCTGTGCGACACAGGCGGAGGCATCATAGTCACTTGGGAGCATTGGCCCTTCCCTGAACCTTGGCCCCCTTGGGCCTGGTTCCTGGCCTTTCTTTGAGCCTTTGTCAACTTCTGAGGCTCGGACTCTTCTTCTTCCTCTTCCTCTTCTTTTTCTAACTCTTCTCTCGTAGCCACCTTCTTTCCTTTCCCCTGGACATGGGTTACTGTCAACACCTTCTTTGGGGCACTTGCCTCTCTCGAGGCCTCTAGTTGGGCCACCACCTCCTTTACTACCTTTTTCAAATCCTGGCCACTACCTGTTGTGCCGTCTATTGCTTTCCTTTTTCTCCTTGCCTGTTTCATTTGGAAGAGGTCAACTTGATCCAATTCCCCGTCCTTTACGCCCTCCTTTATGGTGGCCCAAGTCAGTTTCTTCCCCGGTGCGTCTTTTCTTGTCAGTACTGAGGCTTCAAAGTTTGTGAAGTGCCCCAAAAATGTGGCACATTGCTCTTCCTCCGCCATCCCCGGGACTTTTCTCGCCATTTTCTCAAAAGCCGTAGCAAACGCACCCACCGTAGTGAATTTGTTCCGACTCAACATCTCTAGATCCGTTTTTTTTAGCAGACCATCTCCCAACTTGAAGTGCCTCTGCATTTCCTCTTTGAATTTTGACCAGTCTCCATTTGCACCGGTTGCTACTTTCAYGACCTYTGGCCTGAGCTCCCACCAAACATACCTTGTCATCAATTTGAACTTGTCAGGTTCTGATGCCTCACTCGTAACCTGTTCCAATAACTCCAACCATTCTGAYACCCCATCCCCWTCGAACMGGAAGATGTCAACTTTGGGCACCTGTAGTCGTGCCAGTTCTCTTTTCTCCAACGGTTTGATGATATCTTCTGGCGTTGTGGCCGGACCTCGCACAATCCCGYCGGCGTCGGCCATCTCTACCCTCTTTTTCAGRACCTGTTCRRGGACGGAAAGGTTTCAACAAGCAATCCCTTGTGAACTCCCAAGTTCCTCYATTTTACGGCTCAACTAGACGCACTTCCTTTTCTAAGTTAGTCACGTATATGAATGGTCTATCAAGCCCCTATACCATATACCTACGCTTTTTACTTAATTCGTGGCACAGACGTACTTTAGGTCATAGTCATAGTCAATAAAACCAACTCATACATACCATCGCCACACACGTCACTTAATATCACCTTCAGAGATTACCAGAAAAACCATCACATCAACTAAGTAAGAAAGTTGTCGTTTTGCCTGGATCATCAGCCTGCACTTAACCTGGGTTCGTTCTCTTAAGGACCCTGGTAGGCAGCCGAGATCCCCGGCAACGGCACCCCCTGTCGAGCGCATCGGTCCTGCAGGGGGACCCTCCCGACCGCGTCACGCAGGATTTGGCAAGACTTGTCGCAGAGAGCGTTTTGCCGCTCCGGCCGAGTGCGCCAGCCATACCTCTTGCGAGCCCCTGTGACAGGACAGGGTCACGCGAGGCACCGCTTACCTCCACCTGCGGGAGCTGTCACCATCCTTTAGGTGGGCGTATCCCCGCCGAGCTACTGAACCACATGCGAAGCCTTTTCGTATGCAATCGCGAAGGTGGCCCAGTCGAAGGCGTTTCTCGTTCACTGTAGCATAGGGAGTACGAGCGGTCAAACGCTCGAGTCAGACTCGCATGCGAACCTCCGCTCAAGGCGCTGATCTCTCGAGTGCGATCCTACGTCGGTCGACTAGGACGGCTATCTTAACCACGCGACGATACCAGATGAAACAAAAAAACAAGTTTCACTCTTAAATCGCGCCTAGCCCCTTGTTCTCACCCAACCCATATTTTTTGCTGAGGGATTAGATTAGTGCCGCGCGTGAAGCCTAAAATAAATATTGCGGCGACATGGGCTTTATCATATCGACTCACAATGCATGTTTACGCAAGCAGTTGCAATGATGGAGTGTTATGTGGTACCCAAACTCAGATGGCCCTCAGAGGTTTTGAGGGTCACCTATGATACTCAAGTGTCGGCTGACATACGTCTCGAGGGGTTGTCCTCCTGACGTGGGGCAATTGCAAGTGCGGTTGCAAGATCTACCCTCTTCTACACCCTGTGGAGAGGGGTTGAGTAGACAACCTCGTGGCTGTCGTGGCAGCCCGAATCTTGGCTCCCTTGGCAGACTCCAACATCGGAGATATGCGGAGAGGTCAAGGGGTTTGACTTTGACGGCCGCCACGGACTCCAACGTCCAACTATAAAAACCCAAAAAGGAACCAAACGCAGAGGAGAAAAAGAGGTTAGCCCCCCTTTTTCTCCCTGCCTAGCCCGTATTTCAATTTGTATGGCTTCGTATGCCTGTTAAATAGAAAAGGCTGGTTAGTACGAAGGGTGCGAGCGAATAGTGCCCAAACCAGGCCCATGTGCGAACCAACGTTCGAAACGCTTGAATCTCGAATGCGGGTTCGCATAGGCCGACTACGACTAGTACTTCATCCGCACGACGTTTCGCATTACCGAAACTCGGGTCTACTTACCACAACGTATCTTTGCCCCTCCTTCTTGACCCATAACTGATCGTATAAAACGGTCGTGCACGCGCGGGGCCTACACGTACCTGCTAGCAATGCAGTCCCACGTAAGTGATCGTGATGACGACGCATTACGTAGTGCCCATAATCGAGTGGCCTTATCTCAGTCATGGGGTCGTTATCGACGCTCGAGCGTCGGTTGAAGCGCACGCTAAAGGGGGAAAACCTTTAGGGAGTGCAAAGGCGACCTAAGGGCCTTACCATCTTCTGCACCCTGAGGTGTCCCAAAGGGTGCGGGGTAAGATGGTCCCTAGGGCAAGAAGGAGTTCGGAGCGGTGGTGAGTTGTCTGGTGCACCACCAGCGACGCGCTAATCCTTCCACTCGGAACTTTATCGTTCCACCAAAATAAAATTAAAACAAGGAGAAGAAAGAAAACAATAACGTTATCAGAAGAAAACACAGATAAACTCTTTTTTAAGGGTGCACGAATCCAGTCTGCCCCCCCCAAAAGAGGTGCGAGTGCTCATTTGGCAGGACACACCGCCTTAAAGAAAGAAGAGGGACCTGGGATGTCCTGGAGAAGGACCTCGAATTCTAGGCTCCGGACTAATGTCCGATCAATTAAACCAACGAGGAGAAGAACGATTTGGGCATATGGTCGCATAGCCCCGTATGCCTACTTTAACTCTCACAATAATATCAGGACAAAGAAAAAGGCAATCACAATAAAAAATAAAGAGTTGTGTGGTAGTTCACTCTCACGACAGTTGTGTGGTTTGCCCATCTCGATCCAAAAAAACATAACCATTCACCAAGAATCAATCGAGATTTCTCCACACATACCTGCGATCATACACACAACATTCAAACGACATCGCACACACTCAAGGGGTGAACTTTTCAGCCTTCTGCAGCTCACACCCTGCCTTATGCACACAAGCCCAATCCTTTTCCCCACCATTCCTCAACAAAGATACTCAGTCTTTAAGAAATTACCATTTATAAAGAATCTGGGTGAAAAGCCAAGAAAACATAAAAACCAGCAAGAGTCAAGGCCTTAGGTTGAGAGGCAGAAGAAACAGAAGTGTCGAGTCGTAAACACGAATCTGCAACCGACCTGTTATCAGTGATAACAGAACAGTGATCCTTCAAAGGATCAGGCCGAACGAGTCAAGCCTTCAAGCGAAATACGGAAACCTGCATAGCACTACAGACAAAAAATAAACCACTACTATGTTCATGCCAAAAGGAGAGTGCTTCCCAATTCGTAATCCATCTCCTCTACTAATCTCATTGTCAGCTCCCCGTACTAGTACCAAGTCACTGAGCATCTCCCCTATTCAGAGTGGATTTGCCAAACAACTCCTTGCTAAAAATATTATAACTCCTCGAATTCTACGAAATTTCGGCAACGCTTCCCGTAGGAAAAGTGCCTTCTCATAATTTCCAAGAATCTAAAAATGACTAAGTCTTTCAAATCTGTAAAAATTTTGGCA